GAATAGATCGGTCTCAGACCAGGAACCGGCGACGTCAAGCTGCTGAATACTCGATAAGTTCATCCGAACGTCAGTTTCGCAGACAGCAGCTACACGTACACGCAAGCTCTGGATTATTTCATCGGGAATCGTGCTGCGGGATGCAGCATCTGAGCCTGTGGGAGCGGTCTTGTTTCCTACTCAGATTTCCTTCCGCTCTTCGCATGAGGATTCGCAGCCGATTAGCACGGCGAAGGCTGCCAGTGAGGAGAAAAGACCATTGTACGTTTGCGAGGAATGAGTGCGGCAAGGATGAGGTGACCGTCCCGAATATTCACGAACCCTCAGATTACCCCTCTCACCGAGGGTCGGAAGCAGCAATGTGCGGTCACCGACCGAGAGACCGGGCAGCAAGATTTTGCGAAGATCAGACGTCCGGATGCCCCGCTCGCTTCGCTGTGCGACGAGCGAAGGAGAGAAGAGAGCAGAAGGGAAAGACTGTGGTCTCGAAGTGCGACTGCCGGGTGCTTGGGTACCGAATCGATCGGTTAGTGGAAGTCCACGCGATGAGGTCGATTTTACGGAAGTCCCCCTCGATTCTCTAATTATCGGCCAGTTCTGCCCCGTAGTTCTTCAACTCTGAGTAAATGTGTAGCGCCGGCTGTGGCAGTAACGAGTTTCTCACCCGACAAAAACTATTAAACGCATCAGAGGAAGCATCAGTCGGATGAATCTTGGCTCTGACTTCCTCAGGTAAGTCCAACCGTAAGACGTGTAGTGGCCACCTTAGTTATTGTTAGTATTCAAGCTCTTAGCAAAAATATTCCACTCTGGAACGTGCTCCGTCTTAAGAACAAACTTGAAGCTTCTTGTGTTCGCAGCCTTTGTCTTCAGCTCATGCGGAACTCAGCTGGTCAACTCAAGTCCGGGCATTCCGTATTGAGTCTGAAAAGTGTTGAGGATAGCGATGGGGAAAGCCGTTGGGACGCGTTCCCGAGCGGCGCCTGAACTTTCACTTACTCTCGACTCATTGTAAGAGCGATTCTGACCGATTTAAGATTATTATTGAAGCTCATATAGAGCTCATGGAGCACTGTTTTCCGGACATTGGTTCCGGAAGACAGTCAAGACTGAACAAGGTGAACGATGCGCCGAGGGAGAGTACGTATACTTCGGCTCTCGAGCGATCGACCCTCACGGTCATTGTATGCAGATGCTTCCGAAGTCGAATATGTCGGCGGAGACAGCGATGCATCTGCTAGTGCGCAACCTCGATTTCGTATCCGATGGAGCCGTTGCGATTCAATCCAGGGTCGCCTTAAGGCCAGCAAGAATTTTCCTTCCCTCCTCCGCTTGGGGAAACAGACCATCAGACGGCCATGGTCCTTCTCGGCGGTCTGCCAAACACAGCTGGAGGGAACGCCGCTGGGCGGCAGGTCGCAATCTCCGGGCTCGATATCAAGCTACCGAATTTTCTCGTTTCCCTTTCCTCCAACATATCTGCAGGGGAGCGACCCTGAGCGCCGGCCTGTCTCGCGAGAAACAATGCGAATGAGGAATGTCAGGTATTCGAATCCGGTGAATATCGACAGCGAAAATTACAACTGATCCGCGTCATCGGGACCGCAGAGCCGATTCAGTGTCATGTCCATCTTCGGGAAAGGCGTTTCTCAAAAATCCGCGATATCATCCGGAGTTAATACAAGCTCACGTGGAGCGCTCGTTGTAATCCGATTGCCACGCTTTCTAGGTACGATAGGTTGAGCTCAAGTCATTCATAAATGAGCTCGATCTTGAGCCCACGCCGATTGATGTCATCACAGCAGCGCGGAGATCCCTATTCTTTGAATTCACGACAAGTCAACCAAACCACGATATTCGTTCGAACATCATGCTCGGGGTAGAGAGAAGGACACCAGAGAAAGTAATTTCACTGAGGGACAAGCCGCTAGCGAAGAGTGAGAAGGCGGGCTGCGAATGGGTTTCCGAAGGAAGTTTCCGCCCAAGTGTCTTGGACTCCATCTCCGGGCTTTCTAGCGCTTCTGATAAAGCCTTCTGAAATCATGATCGGCTGTTCATCCGTGCAGATCTGACGTCATCGAGGCGTCACTCGATTCATGCAAACGAATTTTCGGTCGTAGCCAAAATAAATGTTTCTTATCTCCAGTTGGCGGACGACAACAAAAGTGTTCCGGAAAACAAAAACAAATCTAGCATTCCGCAGAGCAGAGTGTCAAAGCATCGTTACGGCTCAGGTGAAGAGAAACGCTAAAACAGCCGTCACTTTTCGCACTCGGTCTTCCTCAACATCCCTCGGTGGAAATTTTCCAGACGCGAAAAATATTTTTCGTCAGTTTGTCTTTGGGCAACAAGCGGAGGCTCGCCAGAAGATTCGAGAATCCGTCGCCCGGGATTCCCAGTTTTCAGGGTGTGCCGTACGTTGCGGATGAGCCGAGTGAAGATTCCCCCCCAGAGTGGACGAACTCTCTCCTTTGGGTATCCATTGTGTTTCAAGTAGGAATTCTGAGTAGAATGCTTGTTTCGTAGAGATTCCTGGCTCAAGGGCAAACTTTTCGAGATATCAGACCTCGGCAAGCCCTCTCTCATCCTTCATGGAGGTTCCACCCATCGCCCCCTCCCCAGGTTCGACCGCTGCGGGAATTCCATGGGGGTGTGGAAATGGATGGGAAAGTCTGGCCGCCAATGATATCAGAGACTCGTCAGGTCGGACCCCGGAACGGCTTCAGAATGAGAGCTAATCTATCCATTGGCGCCGTGGAATCGATTTGCGAGAATGCATCAGTTAAGACTGGGTATTCGAACAACGGGTGGGATTCATACTCTCGATACTCGTGGTGGACTTCAATAACCACTCGATTGGGATCCAAATGGTTCCGCAAATCTCCTACAACACCCAACTTTTTCGCTCATAAGCTTCGGCACAGAGACACGCAGCGCCTCCATGAGACAAGAACCTCCGTAACCTCGAGATTGTCCGAGGTTCGAGACTCTATTGCGCTCCGTGGGACAACCCTCTTTTTTTTCAAGCAGGCGGCACGGGCGCTTCAGCACGGAATCACGTCAAGCACCAGCTTGATGGAGTTGAAACGACCGAGCTCAGAGGGGATCGTCCCTGTCGGTGTTCGAGGTCGCAACTCTCGAAACCTCTCGGCCTGAGCGACTGATGCTCCATTGATCACAATTAAGAACTCTCACGGTCGTTGTGTCGGGTTCTTGGGACGCGATACTCCGGTGTCGCGCGTTCCTCGGAAGCCATGACCCTGATCTCGGGAACGATCGGACAGCTGATTGGTCTTCTCTACATTGTTGTTGAAGAATCTTGGAAATGAACTCCAGGAACGAGCCACGTTGACACGGGGCGAGCCGGTGTCTCGCTCTGAGACTTCGGATTACTCGAATTGATGACGTCACTTCTGATGGAGAATACTCGATCGGTTTAAGACGAAGAGCCACGTTCAAAATGACGGCCCGAGGTCTCGGAGTATGAAATCACGAAAATTTTCCTGGATGCAGCTCTCGTCCGATGTTTTGATCTCCGAGCTACCGTTCTCCGAGGCCCAGCTCAAACCCCTCAAAGAGCAGAACTCCAATTACTCGGTGATCATCAGAACTTATCTCTCGAGGTCCGATTCTCGGTGATCTTCGAACGCCCATGAATGATTCCGACGAGGGTAACAAGCTATCGGCTATTGATGATTATGACAGCTCGATGCGGGAGGCCACGAGAACAGCTCGATCGACTCGCACCCGATGCTCGGCTCTCGAAGGTTCGAGCGCGATTTTCATCGTAAGCTTCCGCGGTCCTTTCGCGCAAGTGCCCATGTGGAAGGCTTCGCACCGAGTACTTCCCGAAGGAACTCGAAAACCCATCCGCGGCGGGAGCTTCCCCTCAACGGAATCTTTCGGAGTGGCTCCCCCTTCCAGAGGTTGAACGCGCTAACGCACGTGTTCTCTACAGGGTTTCGTCCCTTTGTCGGAATCTCGGAGAAATGCTCCTCATATTGTAATGTCTAGCTCTTTGTCTGTGGAGAATGTGGATAAAACATTCTTTTGAGGATATGGATGGAACATTCTTTGGAGAATATGGATAAATCATTCCTTGAACAAATCTGCGTATATGAAAAAAAGGAGAGTCATCCGGAGGCTCCCCCAGTCTGGCAGCTATTCCTCTAGCATGTCCGTGCGAGATCGCGATCACGGAAAGGTGGAATGGATTTTGGGAAAATGTCGCGATTAAATACTTCCTTTTCACCTAGAATCGAATCGTCGGTGGCTTCCTCCTAGCGAAAACTCTGGCGGGAGCCCCAACGGGAAACGAAATCGGCCACGAAAGGCTGGCCCATGTCCCCTCCAAGAGGCTTCCCTCACAAATGGAATGCACGTTTCGCGCGCGAAAAGACAACGTGTCACGCGCCCGCTGATCTTACCGCCCCTGCCTAGCCGGGAATTCGCATCGACAGTGACCGGGAGATAGCATTGGCATTCGAAGTTCGTCGAAAACACAAACATCTGGAACAGCCCGCCGGCACTCGTCCCGACCGGGGTCCTCGGCGGAACATCGCACCGAGAATTTCGACTTTCTCCTACCCTCAGAGCGGGAGGATTTTCCAATGATATGTCCTGTGTCTACCAAGCGAATTGGATTCATCTGACATGTCTGCCCCATTCGAAACATTGCGGTGAACGGGGATCGGATCACAATGTTATTATTCATCATGCTCCCAGAGACAGATCGTTACGGCGGATGAAAATGTCTTCGGGATGGTCTGATACGCGATTGCGTTCGCATTGAAGCGTATCTCAGCATCGAAAAAGCCGACAACGGGTTCGAATCTAGGAGTCCTGTACGACGAAGATTGAGTTCCCAATATTCCGGGGCATAGGTTAGAATTCGGGAAAAGATCGACGACTGATGACTCTGAATGGTTGCGAGTGAGAGAGGCCGGTGATCTGTTGGGTTGCTCGGACGGATTCTCTCTCTCATCGTCAGAGACCGCCCAATGACGAACAATCGCGATGGTAGTAGTTGTACACGATCCCTCTTCACGACAAGTCGAAGCTCTCCTCGCACCGAAGCGGCTCCTCTCCGCAGGTCGAGGTCCCTCGCCTGGAGTTGAGAGAGAGCGGACTACCGGTGCGATGGGAGTAGCTTAAAAGCACATCCAGTTGGAGTAGCAGTTATCACTTTGGAACGTGTCTTCAGCGTTTCTCGGCTCAGCACTTCGTTTTTGCACGAGTTCCTGACGAGAGCACCCTCTCGTTTTCTGTCGCGAGAGTTGTGCCGGCTGTTCTGTCGAAGCGCGCCGCTCCTTCAGTCTTGCCCCCGGTGAAGCTTGAGCTGAAGTCCAAGTCTCCAAGACGTCGCCGCGATGGATATCCTTAGCTCGATCAAGATGGCCTTCGACCACGCCAGAGGAGATCGTAAGATATCCGACGTGAAAGTCATCAGTTATTCGCCGAAGATATCCCGAGACCTCATTGCGCCCTCCTACGAGAGCACCGTGGGCAGCCCATGCGAAGCCGTCCCCATGGTGAGTTGCCGCATTATGGTTTTCTTCAATCGCTCGAAACCGGTGCACGAATCCCGAGGGTGTCCGCGCGCATTCTCTACTTTCTGTGACGATTTTCGTTTGCTTGGGCCTCTCCCGGAATTTGCGCTTGATCCTCGTGCTCTAATATCTGCCAGGTCTGGGCAGAATAGTTGGGTACACTTTCGAAGTTATTGTCGGAGACTCGGCTTTTCTTGGCTTTCCACCATATTTTCTCAACGCCATGATCGAAGGTCAGGCGGCCTGTACATCCTACCGCCGTTGATATTGAGGTCGTTCCCGATGCGCAAATGTCGACGCCCCCCCTCTTCCACTTGTTCGCCGACTCACGACAGCTCGTGTCTCGATCGATATTTGTATGAAATGGGGAAGCCGAAGAATCAAAAGAGAGCCATAGGAGCTTCACCGCTGAGTTTGACCCCGTTCCCCCCTTGCAGGTCGTCTTGAACTCTTCGGAAACCACTTGCGGCCTCGCGCTGCACAAAGAAATTCGCACGGAGGTTACACCGAGTCTTCTGAAGAAGATTCTGAAGTACACCGAGAAAGCCAAGAGCATCGACCCAACGAAAGAGCTCGCCCTTGAGGGCAAGCTGAGCGCGATGACCGAATCCGTGACCTCGAGCAGCATCAAACAGCTGAAGTCGAGTTGTCCGTCGATGAAAACTCTCACGCTCCAAAACTTCAATCTGCGAGCGAAGCAGAAGAATCGTCGAGCGCGTCTCGTGGACTGCCCTCCCGACCTAGAGCTGCTGTCACTCCGAAATTCCACCTTCGAGCCGAAGACCTTCTTCGCGAAAATGGATCAAGCTAAGATGAAGAAATTGAAAGTTCTCGACGTGGGTCGAGCTATCTTCACGCAAAAAACAACACGCATTATAGTAACAGAGACGGCGGCGCGCCCGAGGCTCACTGGCCGAAGCTCGAGAATTTGAAGGAGCTCTACTTGGAGGGAGTTCCTCAAGTGAAATCCGCTCCGTTCCTCCGACGTTTGCTCACAAACTTCCCGAATCTAGACGTTCTGGATCTTGAAGGTACTCAGCTGAACGAAGACGATGTCGTTGCAATCGCCCAGCTCGTGCCCAATCTCCGGGAACTCTACCTGGGTCACACTGGACTCAGAGACACGTCAATCATGCAACTGGTGTCCAGCGGATGCCTCTTCGAGACTCTGCAAACCGTCTGCTTGTGCGAAACCAACATCACGGACGCTGGCCTCGAGACCCTGGTCAGCGTGTGTCCATCGCTGCGTTCGGTCACCGTGAAGCGCTCGCTGGTTAGCAGCAAAACCGCAGAGGCTTTGCAGGCGCTCCTCCCCGGTCTCCAAGTCAACCGGGTCGCCGTGACCCACATTCTGGCAGTGTTCCCCGATCAGGGCTGCGATCACTTCAGTTTGAAGCACGATCTCCGCAACGGGAAAGAAAATATTTAAATTCTCCTCCAAATTAGGTAGCTCGACGTCCATCTTGTACAAAAAGAACGGAAGAGCCGGCGAGAAATTGAGTCCCGAACTCGCATTGTAAAAATTATATCGACCACAGAACTCGGTCGCTGAACCCATGTAAATAAGGAATATATGTCGAACGGTTGTAGGATACGATAATTTATGGAGCAAATAATAAGGCTATCATCTTCAGAAGGGAACTCGAGAGAGTCTTAATTTCTATCTATGTTCTACGTCTGAATCTGGGGGAGATGCAGATCAAAGGGGAGGCATAGAGTCTCGATGCGCGGAGAAATTTGCCCGCTCACGCACCGAGGGGCTGTGGGGGGGGCTGAAGCCCGTCAAGAGAGTCGTTCTAAGATTGAAAAGCTGAAAGAAGAAAATACTTTGGCGGCATGGTTCAACTTCGTCAAGGCTCGAGTCTTCGAAAACGTCGGCTACACTTTGTATTCCACGATCTCGTCACCACTCGTAGGGTTGATTAGGGAAACCGAGGAATTTTCCTTCCACGTGTCCTTGGTTCAACGCCCCCTTGAGAAGTTTCCGACTCTTCGACTCACTCAGGTAGATTTACGATTCTCTGACTCAATGAAAATTCCACTCGACGGGGAGCAGCTTCCATCGGGCTGCTGCTCCAATGCAGGCAGCCGAGTCGTAAAGAGACGAGGTCTGATGGAGGAACGATGTATACGTCCCCTCTGGAGTTCGTTCGAGGCGAAGAACGGGATCCATTGGGCAAATGTTATACCACTCTGTTCACTCGAGGAGCTGCCGAGCTGCTTCATTTTATCTCGCACGGAGATCATCTGCCTTTTATCTCGATCAAACCCATTCCCACTCCTCTCTTAAGAGAGGCCTCTGGAAATTCGGAAGACCACTATCTCAAGACGACCTACACTCTGCCTACACGAAAGAAGTGACTATGTCCGAGCGTAATTCTGCCACCCACCGTAATAAAGCAGAGCATCGAGTCCGAATGTCGCGACGCGGCGATGAGTCAATCTCCTCCGGGGATCGTTCGTTTTCAGGGGATCGCAAGTCTGCTCGCCGTTCCGAGGAAAATCGAAACCTCGGCCTGCGAACATACGTACGTCATCCCGAGCACCGACGGATAGATTGCTCATGGGGAGGAATTGATCAGCTTCCTTTCTTGACTCACTTGGGAGGATGCATGTCTCCTTTTCCCGGGGAATCTCAAATGCCGGAAGCCCATCCTCACGAGCCGTCTCCCTGAAAGATGCGGGCGGGTCCAAGAGAAGTCAGACTGCGGAACTCCGAGCCTTCTCTGGAGTTTTTCCTTCTTCAACGTATTACCGTCCGAATGACTTCTCACAACGTCGGTCCTTCATCCGTACTGAGCATTTGACATCAGGACTCGAGCGGGCAACAATCTGTCGACCGGTCCCAGAGAGCGACTCGAACAGCGTCGCTATAAAGAGTATGAAGCGGACGAGCAGATTACATTGTAAAGTAGTCCTTTATCTACGCTGATCGCTCGATTCCATCTCCGAATGTCAACTGTGTACTCGTGTACATATCTGAATCGGCTTCGCCGCTCGGACGGTGCGATCGACGGCGGCGCATGCAGTCTTGGAAAAAGCGTCGACGGCTCTGGGAGAAAGCGGGAGTTTGCATCTCGTGCTGGATTCTTTTTTGACGATTCTATTCTGAATCGAGCCGGTCGATCTCGATTCGGATCGATCATTCTGAGAGCCTCTCTCCGCAGTGCTCGAGAGGTCATCGGAGTAGGAGCTCACCGTCCTTTGTAGGTCGCGGCTCGGTTTCGTCAGAGCTCGCACCTTCAGTGCGGGGGCTCGGACTCCATTGACTGAAGGTTCTGACGCTTTCGACGAGACGGTCACTTCCGGAACAACGAACCGCATCATGACTTCTGACCGATTGAGATGAATGTGGGTCCGTCCCTTGCTCTCTGCAGCGGTGCCCAAAGCGGGTCGTCAAAAGAATATACCCATGAACAGTCCACCTTTTTCTCCAGCAATTCCTGGAATTCGCATATCCGTCCGGGCTCTATGATGAAGATCACCGTGGCTACCGCGAGGACGATCAGAAATTCTGTCAAGTTGGGAACAGCTGATTCCGTACGTCCAGAATCCCAGCGTACAGTGAGGACTGAGTCCGATGGCGGATTACAATGAAGCCGTGAGCGCTCGATCGCGTCGCCGCTCTTGTGTACTAAGTCATCGACACAGGAAATGACCTTTATCTCCGGAGTTGTGGCTTCTGATCCTGACATTACGTAATAACGTTCTATCCGTATCTCGGAAATCTTCTTCTGTTCAAGCTTCAATGGCAGCGACCAAGAGCCGTCTCGATGTTTCATCGGCGCTGAATTCCTGCGTTCGCCATTCGCACAATTCGTACATTACTCGTTTTTTCGAGAGATCAGCGACTAGTCCTGGCCATTCGCTAGGGATCGGTGACCTCCATTTGATGAGGTGATCATGGAGAGAGAATCCGCCTCGTGCACAGAAGACGGGTGATCGCTTTCACTCGATGCTGGCTTCGTGCGTAAGAATACGATCTCCCGAACGGGACACCATACACCAAGAACTGTCATTTACCGTCCCCCAGACGGAAGTTCCATAATATATGATACGTCACCTGTTCGCAGACACGTCTGGAGCTGGCGGTTCATCGAATTCGATCGTGCGCAGAATTCAATCGTTGTGGTGGGGAGTGCCGCGAAAAGCACCGTCGGCTAGTCGATCGCGGACGAACCGGGGACTCGCTACCCCAAGCAAAAACCTCAAGAGACGAAGCAAGCTGAGCCGCTCGAGGAATGCTCTGTAGAGAAACTTGCGAGCTACCCGTTAGTTCCAGTATGACATGATGTGAGACTTCAGGGCTGATGTGTCGCGCAGAACTGTCCGTGACCCATCAGACCATCGAGGATGGGCTCTCCAACATTTCTAGGATCTCTGCAAATGAAAACTCGTCCAGAGTTCTGCATCTAATTCCCTCACGCAGGGGATAGATCAGATGGATTCGAGGACCTATCTCATTTTTCCATGAACAGTTCCGGAGCCTGTACGGAATATGAATCGGATCCGAAACGTGTGTGAGAAGCGGCCGCTGAAAGCCCGAAAATTTCGATCCGAAGCGAAGTCTGCTTCTCTTCGAGCCGCGCAACTCATTCAGGCCGAAGCTCCTCTTGTGCTGAGCTCCTTTATCCTGGCTCGCATCACTCGCCGAAAGCCTCGATTTCGGCCGTATTCCACGCAATGCGATCGCTCAAAATCTGAGGCCTATGTTTTTTTGGGAAGCTGTTGCCCTCCAAGAAGGTCCCCGGTACTTGCACCTGCTGTGCGGTGGCGCCTGAATGATGTTCCGAATCCTGGACAATCATTTATTTTTCCTTTATTCACGACGCCGCGCCGGCGAATGAGCTTCCACTTGGACCTTGATGGCTGTTATTCAAGAGGGGACACTCAGGAGCACGAAGAAATTCATACAGCCACCAAGATCGAGCAACGAGAATTCCTCTCCGGATGCTAGTCAAATGCTGAGAATTTTAGTCTGGGATAATGGAATACCTAGTCTCGATTTCGTTTCCGACTCCCGATAGCTCTGATCTGCTGAAGTGCTAGGGTCTTCCCGCTCCGCCTTGACTCTCATGATTCCCTGGGGAAGTTTCCCAGGTACTCGGCCTTGATCCTCCTGGGTACATTTGCTCTATGGATCCGTCCTCAGAAGCAATGTGAATAACAGTACCCGGGACGTTAAGAAAACCCGGCAGATCTTCGCCTGAATGCAGGCACGAATGACCGGAAGGTACCGTGGCGCATATCCCTGAGGCGTTTCAGAGGTGCTCCGCGAGTAAGTCTGCTTCCTCATTCCTTTTGGCTGGTACAACCGATGAGCCTCAATGGAAACTAATTGAAAGCACCATTACCCGTGACATCCTCCGTCTTCCCGAATCCTCCTTTATCGACTTCGAGGACCAAGGTAATCCATTGCGGAGGACCGCTACTCAATTATTTGGATCTTCTGTCTTCCTCCAGCAGCCGTATGACTCAGCAACGACGAAGTGTGGCGAGTTGCTGAGGTCCTCGAGACCTTCACCAGCAATGGAGTCAGAGGCTTCCCTGCTCCGTGCCCTCTCCGGGAGTGTACTATTGAAATTGATCCTAGAGCTCAGTCGATTCAAGATCCGGGGACGTGGATCGTCAGATGTGGGGCCCTTCGGCTTAGTGGGATACATTTGTGTGTTTGGAGCGCTCTTGTGGTCTCTCGACTCTCCTGGGAGTCCAGATCTCGCGGGGGTCATTCGTGGCGGTGCCAAGGAAGTGGAGATTCCTCCGAACGAGAACCCCTCGTTCCGATATCGCGATTCCCACAACCGCAGAGTTCGAATACGTTTAGACAGGTTGAGGGAAAGATTCCGTCGTCCCCTCCAAATCGAAACACGCGACATTCCTCCACGGAATATGAGCTTCCAAGAATTCGAGATAATGGTGAATGATCTGTTCGGCGATTTTTCCGTCGTGATAAGCCCGAGCTTGAAGAGATCATTGACTTGGAGATACATGTCAGATTTATTGCGTATCTATGACGCGATGAATCGAGGCGAGCCCGGTGTGGGAAGTTCGCGGCCCGAAGGAGAGCGTGACAACGAGTACGATTCCTCCTCGATTCCCAATCGCGGGAGGGGGCTCTTAGGGAAGATTCAGTATTCACGACATCCACTTCATGAGCACGTTCTTGCTTTTATGCGAGATAAAATGAACATAACGAGGGCCGGATATGACCAAAGAAATCCAATCGATTTATCGACCCTCCGTCTTTTCGCTGATGAGCATATTCGAAAAACGGCTGCCGTCGAAGTTTTCGACCCGAAACTGCAAATTTTCGTCCCGGTCACTCTGGCGAAAATTGAAGAACTCTCGAGGAACCTGCGACTTCGCGCTGTCGAGTGGGAAAATCGGTGGATCCCCGTATCGACTGAATTGTTCGAATTCATGAGTCAGCGGATCGAGCAGGCTAAGGGCGGGAAGAGACAAACCGGTTGGGGTTTGCCTGGTCATCTCATGAGATTTCTCGCACCGCGGGACTTCCATCCCCTCAAGACGGATCGAGACGGCTTGTTCTTGGTCACGCCGAAAATGGTGGAAATTGAGCAAAAAAGGTGAGTC